TTTTTAAGATATGTGATAGAATAATATGATTATGTGAATTTTCTGGTTGTCTGCTCACATGACGCATAAATAACAAATTATAGTCTTGTGAATTTTCTGATTGACTGCATGCATTATGATAATGTTATCATATTAAGATAGATAATTTTGTACTATGTATTTACCTTGTTGACTTAACATACATGATTTTCAAGTTAATTTGATGGTTTTGAGAAAAATGTTTTGATAATTATAAACAATTTATAATATAACTGAGTAAATAAGAAGAAAGGAACTATGATTTTAAATATGATATATGACGAGAGTTTTATTTGTATTATTAGATGCTTTAGAACTAAAGTAACTAAAGTTCAATTTCTAGATATCATGGATATTAATTGTTCTTATTTTTTCTTTCTAGTTATATTTTATTATAACATTTTTATTAAAAATATTTAATGATAATAAAATATTTTTTTATTTTTATTTTTCTAAATAGTGTTCATTAATTGTAATCACCAAAATTAATGTATATTACCGGTCCGATGTTACTTATCACCCTGTGTCACAATGAAAATTTTTTATTTGCTCCAGACTTACAATGGTTTCCATTTCCTAGTTGATAGTAAAATTATAAAATGTAACATATGCAGTATACCGATATTAGATATACTGTACCGATTGATATAACGCTAATATTTTATATATGAACTATTTTGTCAAGATTTTCCTAAATATTTTTCTAGCATAGCAAGTTGCATCAAGTAAATATTTATAAATTGTATAGTGAATAGGTATAAAAAATCATACTAATTGAATGCACGTTTTATGTGAATTATAAAATGATGATATTAAAAAATTTGTAATTTTTCCATCTGAATCAAAAAAAAATACGTTACTGACTGATATTAATAACTTATAGATGAGATAAATAATATAAGAAAAATCTAGGAGCAGAATAACTTTTGGGGGAGAATTTTAAACCTATCTATTGGTTCCTTATTGATGCAAAATATTAAACTAAAATTCATTTAACTTTCTTATTGGACCCGATTTTAATTTATTAAATCATCCTTTGCGTGTGCATATATAGATAGTATTTGTAAAAAAAAAAAAAAAAAAAAAAAAAAAAAAAAAAAAAAAAAAAAAAAAAAAAAAAAAAAAAAAAAAAAAGAAAAAAAAAAAAAAAAAAAAAAAAAAAAAAAAAAAAAAAAAAAAAAAAAAAAAAAAAAAAAAAAAAAAAAAAAAAAAGAAAAGAAAAAAAAAAGAAAAGATTGACGAGAAAAAATCTGAGGAGTATAAATCTATTGGGGGACAAAAACCTAATTCGTTCCGCTTTTAATTTATCTAATATTGTCGTCGGTGATTATTAAGAATTTACTGGTGCAAAAAGAATAAACTAAAATTTAAATAATGAATCTGATGTTAAAATTTTTAAATTTATTAATTAAAAGACGGTAAGGATCGGATTTAAAGTTCGGTTATTTAATTTTAATAGAAACGAATCATTTGCTTAAATTTGAGCGAAAGAGCAGGGAGCTCAGTACGACTAAGAAAGTTTTTTTTTTTAATGGCATCTCAATTTTATATTTATTTATTTTTTTTTAATAAAACTAGCGTTGGTCAACATAATTTGACACACTATTAAATCCAAGGCTAAAATAACAATAAAATAAAAATCGCGGTAAGACCATTCCGTAACGGCAATTGATCGAAACATTCCATTTCCTCAACATGAAATTTACCGACACGTCATTTCTAATGTTTCCCGACAACGGACACTTGACAAGGTGATGAACCGTTACTATATACATGAACATTTACCGATTGATATCTCGATTTGACGAATTATAGAAACAAAGCAATCAAAGTTGCAAAATGGAAAATTAATTATAAAGCAAAATGAATAATGATACATGCCAAGTTTAAATAAAATGCCATTTGCCAAGTTAAAAGATTATTCGTATCGTATCACCTCGCAGTGTCGATCTGGAAATATCGGTGAAACTAAATGGTCATGGACCGACTAGGGTCTTGGCCTTCGCATATCTAAACCGGTGAGTCATGGACCGATTAAGTATTCGCCATGACATCACATTACACCATACAAATTTCTTACCCAAAATTATTTTGTTCGATTCGGGTGCAGCATTTGAATATTTATTTATTTATTCTCAGTATTCTCAGAGTACGTTTTTTGAAAAAAATTTTATTGTATGATTAATGAAATGTTCATGGCCAAATTAAAAAACTCAAAGTTTTAAGATCTTATTTATTATATGAAACGATAGTAACGATGTTTTATTTTGTAAATAAGTCAACAGGAGAATACGGGAAGTAATTTACTTATTAAACAATTGTTCTCATCTCTGACAAATTTTCAAACTTGGATTTAGAAAGGTCCGACAAGAATTAATATATGGTTGACCAATATGAAAAGTAAATTAATTAATTATTCAGCACTGTTTGATGATGATCAATCATGAAAAGTTTCACATATTGTATAAAAAAATATTTTGCACGCGGATGTCGGATCCAATAAAATTTTTCATTCCCGCGCCTTTCAAATTTGGAACGTTTCCGGATTTTCAATTTGGATACATATATATTTGAAGGCCACCATCACATCATCTTATATCGCTCGTAAAACTCGAATTATTATTGGACTAACGCTAAAGCCAATTTTAATTAATGTTATTCGAAAATCTTTTTTTTTTTTCCTCAATGAAAATATATATATAGCTCACCCAACCCTTTAACGATCCATCCCTTTCACACCAACCTTTTTTCATTCCTTTTTTTTTTTTCTTATTTATTCATCTCCTCATCCTAAGTTAGATCTTTCCCTCCCTTTCATATAAAATATGGGAAACTTAGTAAATAATTTCACAGTAGTTTGTACAGAGATAGATGGAATACAAAAATGTGCTTGTGATTTCCGAGTGAATTTCTATGGCTGTCCCTTCGAAAGCTTATTAAAAAAAGCGGCTTTAGTTCTAATTCCACTTTGTTTGTTTTCCTTGGCATTATCTTGCGGCATGCTTTACTATTATATCAAAGTTAGAAACCAGTCATTCTCCCTTCCGGCGACTCGCGATCGAGGAATCTTGAGATTTCGACCCTTTCAAACATTTCATTTGTACTGCGTAGCTTATATCCTCTGTAAGTAAACACCGCGAACCAGAAAGCACGTGATTTGGCGCATACACTAACAATTAACTCCCTTGCATCTGCACCTTTAGTTGAAACCATTCATCTTATTATGCTGGTTACCGATTCTTATAGAAGCCTGGTAATTGCGGAAAGTAAGTTATCGTACATCTCTTTTAAATTGCAAATGAAAATAAAGTAAACTAATAGAATTTTAATTCCCTTAATTTGCTAGTCGGATTTGCCGCGATGCACACGTTCGCATCTGCAATCGGCATGCTATACCCTATAAGCGTTGGTGGGTATCACCCCTTTTTTTATTTTTATTTTTATTTCTTTAAACAATCTATTTACTAATGTGGATTTCAACGTAAAAAATTTTAGTTTATTCCACACCGACCTCAATACACATGAAATATAAAAGCGAACTGACAAATCCACGTTTGCTCGACATTTTAGGATTTGGAATGATTGGTTACTCGTTCATATGTTTCAACACCTTCGCTGTATTAACTGGTATTGCGGGAGAAAATATGGATATAGAGAAAGCGGATAAATATTTCGCTTTAAATTCGTTCTTTTGGGTCGCATGGACGTCCATATTTACATGTTACTTGGTTTTCACATGGTTGAAGTTACGCAGGATCATTCATCGACACATTAAAAGTCTCGAGTTGCAAAAGGTCGTCGGGGACACGGTAAGTCAACAAATCATTAACATGAGGAAAGCTTCAAGAAACGTCAACGTGCCGGTCGTCATTATGACCATCTGTTGTCTCATGATCATCACCTCCAACATCGCCGTAGCCATTTCATACCGAACGGTGGCGATATTCGAAAAATTTTCATCTATTAGTATCTTTGCTGCTTGGTACATTCTAAATCCGATGTTTGTTTTGATATGCAACGCCATACTAGTATACAAGTATGTATTATTATTTTTGTGCATGCATGATCTATTTTTGAAGCAAAAAAAAAATAAACGATGACGATAATAATGCAACCGTTTTGTTTTTTCTCTCCTCATAGCAAGCTCAAATTTTATGCTAAAGCGACGATTACTGGATGCCTTTCAAATGGTGAGATCGTTTGTTTTAATACCAATGAAACAAATAATACAAGTAATACTTATGTTGATAATAGCAATAATAGGGAAAGTAGTTTGTGTACAAATAATAACTTGGTTATTAGTACCAGTGATAATAGAGATCAAATTCCAAGTTATGAAAACATTTCAAGGTATCCTATTGCTATCCATTGCACTGAAGAAACAATTACAGAAATACAATAATAATCAACCATTTGAACATTCTTGTAAAAAAAGAAAAAAAAAAAGAGTATTGCTTCTTTGTAGATTATTTTATTTATTTATTTTTTTTTTTTTTTTTTTTTTAAAAAAAAAAAAAAAAAAAAAAATTGTAAAAAATTTTAGTTTTCGGACTGGTTGTGATAAAACTTAAATGATGATTTTTTTTAAAAAAAAAATCAACTGAAACCACCACAAATGTTGTTTAGAAAGCTTCCTTTTATATGATATTATTTTTGATAATATAAACAAGTATTTAGTTTATATATAGAAGCCCAATATATAAAAGATTATTTATCAATAAAAATTCTCCAAAATATTCTTTTTGGTCGTTTTTTTCGTCAAGAATATATATTATTTCATAGTAGCTCTAAAAATAAGGGTCAAACCTTAAAATAAAGCATCAAATCGGTCGATTTTTAAATGAAAAAAGTTAAGTTCGATCCTTTATCAACAGGGTAAAATTAAGCAATTTAATATCTCGAAAGGAAAAAAAAAAAAAGAATCAAATAATAATAAGAATAATAATTATTATGCTTACGAAATTTGTCAATTTACGGAAATTCTAGTTAATAATTGGTTTAGCAATCAAGCTCTAATATTAATAATTAAGGGTCTTAATATTTGATATCATACTATCATGAACTATTAACGAATATTTTCTTAAACTTAAAAATAATTTCTATCAAACCGCTTGGAATTAGATTTTGCCATACAAATCCGAGAATGATAAGAATCCAGATTTACTATGGATGGTTTTTATCGATGAATCGTTGCCTTTCATAAAGAACTTATTCAATATTTTTTTTTTCATTTTTTAACTATGAACATCATAAAAGGATTACTAACGAATGAACAAGTATATAAACACAATGAATTCCTCACCTCTTTTTGAATAAACCAAAATAAAAATACTAGTAATAAACATCCTTGTAGTGATAACAGTAAAAAAAAAAAAAATGAAGTTTTTTACAATTTTGTCGGTTATCAGCATCTTGACTGCAGTAAACGCGAATCCAGGTTTATTAAAAATAATCTCTTTTTTGTTTTTTTTTGATCTTGAACTTATCTAACCTAAATATTATTCTTTGAAATCTTTCAAGTATTTCATAAACGTGTTGAAAAAAATGTCAAGGATCCTGAAGAAAAATACGATCCAAATTACTATATTGAAACCTACGGCGGTAAGAAAGATGCTTATTACAAGCAAGCGGAAGGTTGGAGAAACAAGGTTTTTGGTAACAAGGATTGGGATAAAGTCAAGGATAACAAGGGTTTGAATAACGTAGGCAAGGATGATAAAGTCAACAAAAGTTGGGATAACAAAGAAATTATCGATGATAAAACAAAGAATGATGACAAAGGCAAGAACGATGTTAAAACTGAACAAGTTTAGAGAACCTATGAACACTGATACTACGGCCAGGAAAGAACGATCACGATAATACGGTCATAATAGACATTTTAATTCAATTCTTTTTATTTATTACCATAATTAAAATTTTATTAAGATTAATATATTAATGATAATTGCAAAAAAAAAATTTGTAAATTTCAAGAAATAATTTTTTTTGTTAAAAATAATATGAATTTTATTTTTTGTAGATCAACCGCATATGTCTGTATCCTGCAAAAACATTGTAAATTATTTGAATTTTTTAAACTTTCGATTAACGTTACATATAGTTAATAAATTGTTAAAGAAATATGAGTAATTGATTCAACAATGATCTTTATTAATTATTTTTATTAATAATACGTACATTAAATGTTAAAATGAGCGTTGAAGGAAGGAAAAAAAAAATCGGTTAAATATGATTTTAATTAATAACGTTGTATTTGTTAATTAAATTTATTACTTATAAATTATACAAATTGGAAAATGAAATTATTGTAAAGTTATTTTCAAAAGGTACAAGCAAAAGAACAAGACATATTATTATATTGCAGTTGTAGTGGGAAATGTCCTTTTTTTCGTTCGTTCGGGATTGTAAAATTGATCTTTTATAGGAAATAATAATACATTCAATTTTGGCGTTATTACTAAACATGTATTTGTTGGTATCGTTAACCAATCTGCTTTTTCAAATGTGAGTGGTTCTATTTTCACGAAACAATTTATATGTGATTCAATTAAAATATTTTCAAATAATCAAAGAAAAAAAAAGACAAAAGAGTAAATTTGGAAATACCTGAAGCAACTAATACAATATCTTCACGTTTATCTGCTTTGATCTACAGTACATGAATAAAATTAAAATCATTTGTTATTTACCAAATTTGTCCTGAAAATACAAACATACCATTCTATAATGTCCAGGTTTATATTCCATAAAACTAGTTCCTATATTAGTAACAATCATGTAATGGTAAGTTATCATTAAATTAAATCCGAAATATAGAATACTTTTATATTCTACCTGAAGAAAAATATAAAGAAGCTGCCTCTTCAGTCCTGTTATTAATATATCTAGTACACACAACGGAACATCCATCTGTCACTGCAAAATTTAATAATGATGGCTTCAAAAAATAAAATAAAATAAACACGAATTAACAACTTTATTAAATTCCATGATATTATAATATTATATTTCAGCTACCTCGGTTATTCCGGCTTCTTCAGCCCATGTATTTAATTGTTCAATGGTCTTTAACATTGCAACTTTTAGCGTTTCATGATCAAATGTTCCATTCTCTGGATCGTTCAACTAAATAAAAATTAGGGTCAATTTTCAAAGTTCGTTATTAAATTTGATGAAACTTTATATATATAAAATTATATCGTACATTATTTAGGAATAATGCAAAAGCCCATTCAGAATCCGTGTTTCCTTGTACAAATAAGAATATTTCTTCTCTTAATGATTGCTGTAAAACTCTTTTAATCTAATATAAATGTAAAATCTTTTAATTCTTGATGTTAACAAGTCTTTAATTTAAGTAAAAAAAAAAAAAAATTAATGTAACCTTGTGAAAGTCTGCTATATTCCCATTATGCATCCACATTAATCTATTATATTGCCATGGATGACCTATTAATACAAGAAAGGAATATATATATATGTATATATTTTTTAAAAAAAAAAAATTCACTTGAAGATTAATCAGTTTTTATCTTTAAAAACCTACAATTAGTTTCAGACAAAGCACCAGAAGTCGAAGCCCTTACATGAGCAAAAACCAACGGGCTCTTAATTTTCTCCGCAAGTCTCGATAAATTTTGATTATTCCATGCTGGTGTTACAGATGTAAATATACACGGTGTATCATCATTTGGTATCTTGGGATCTGAATTCTCATACCATCCTAAAAAAAATTTTAAGTTAATACTCTAGTAAAATAAAAATGAAGGAATCAAATTGATATTTATATTGTACCTACGCCGAAACCGTCACCTATTTTGAGGATAAAAATAAATTAAATAAAAAATCAATAAAATAAAAATATTAGAAATTAGATAGCTATACCGTTAATTGTGCGCCTTGTATCCAATCGTAGTCTACAATCAAATGATTGATTTATAATCGAATGAGCTGGTCGTGTAAGTAGCTATTAGAGAAATAATCGTTTAGAATAACGACAAATAAATTAATATTTTGAGTTTGATTTTAAAAGGCCTTACGTGCGATAATTGAATCGAAGCTTTTCCTTTGTAAAGTAAAAACCTGCACATTATAAATTGTTCATGAAAAAAAAAAGATTCCAAAAAAAAAAGGAGCTCTTTATATACTTTTTTGGTGATACAATGTCGATCTCAAAAATAAAATAACAATGATATTTTTGTAATCATTCTCATGTCTAAAATAACCAATTTAAATTGACAGTGATTAATAATATGGTGTGAACGTGAAAATGAATTTATATTTGAAAAAAAGTATATTTGACCGAAAGATAATTGGATTGTAACTTTCAAGTCAGACTTTCCGAAAGAATAAAATTTTCAAATTTGCAAAAAATTACATAAAAATCACACAAAACTCGACCAAACGTATAGCGAACACGGATAACGATGTAATAATAATAATAATAATAAACTAAAAATTGTGATCTAAAAAATCTCTTTACAGTGTAAATATCATAAAGTTAAATATTTTTAATTATATAGTAAATACCATATAAACAAGTTTTGACAAAAATGGTGTCCCGGCTTGGGAGGCTGTACCAATGCGTAATAGCATAACAAATAAGTTGGAGTAAACCATTTGAATTGGATGTGTTAAATGGGATCTTTTTGGAAACTCATTTTTGTGTATCAAAACCATACTGTTTGAATCTACTTATTTACGATTGGCTGGTAATAATTGATTACGCATACATGGCGTGAAGAATAAACCTAATCCACCGAAAAAAATCAAGTCCCTCAAATATTTGAAACATCACCAGTTTCACGCCAGTGACAAACCACCCTAACCCCAACCAATCTCAATTATACCAGCCAATCGTAGCGCAAATTAGCTATTTTACCAAGAAGCCGAGGTTTATTCAATCTCCGATAAGCATCACCTGTCATATAATGATCTGTTGCCAATCATTTCTTATTATAAATATATGTTATAATAATGAGTGTAATTTAAAATTTAAAATTTAAAATTTAAGAAAACTTATAATAAGATTTTTATAATAAATAAATAATATAAAAACAGTAAAAAGATAATTATATATTGCATACCTATTTATCATGTAATCTCAATATTATATTATATATATATTTTTAAATATTAATTATCTTTTTGTATTCTTTTTCTTTTTTTTATACAAGTTAAAAATGGATTTAAGCTATTTTTACAGTAGAATTTTTCATTTATTATTTTTTAAAACAATTGGAATAACTGAATTTTATTTTATAGATAATAATTTTACTTTGAATGAAAATAAAAATAAAGAAAATAATTAAAGTTAATGATAAAATTAAATTTATAAACTAAAATAATAACTAATTAAATAATACTTTTAAACTTCAAAAATTAAATTAAAAAACTTTTAAAAATAAAGTTATTCATTTTATAAATTCTAATTTAAATTCAAAATTAAAAAAAACTTGAATTTACTAAATATTTTTGTTATCTTAATCAGTAAAATTAGCTATTGATTTTTTTTATAGATAATTTTAAATTTTATATCAAAAAATATAAAAATAAAATAGATTTATTATTTACCATTACAAGTTAAATATTATAAAGATTATTATTTTTCTGATTTATTTGTTAAATATATTATAAAATAAATTTTTTTTGTAAATATACTAGAAAATATAAATTAAAAAAAAAATCATTAGATTCAATAATATTATAAAAAAAAATAAATTGCAAATAGTATATCAATTTATAAATCTAAAAATAGTGTATTGTAATTATCAAAACTCAAATTTTACAAATATATAATATTTTATAAGTTCAATAAATTCAATAAAAGTTACATTCATTATTAAGAAGTTTTGTTTTATAAATTAATTTTTTTTGTTCAAAAATTTATGTATTTATTATATTATTTATCTTTATTATTATTTCAATTCTATGTTAATATCATAATTTTTTTCATTATTTTTTTTTAAGTTTTTATATTCTTCTTGATTAAATTTTTATTATTTCACTTTATTATATCTGTTATTCTTCTTAATCTTTCTTTTTTTCTCACTATATTTCTTATTATATAGTAATTATTTCAAATATTCTTCTTTTTTATACAAATATTATTTATTTCTTTTCTTTATTCTAATGTAATATCTTTCATTATTCTATAATTTTAATATTTCATTTTCTCTATCATTTTTCTTTTAGATTTATTTTAAACCTTTTGTTTTATTTATTTCTTTTTGTTAATATAATTATTTTCTTTATATAAACATATATTTATTAATTTTAAATAAATTATATTAACAATTATACTATTTTTTTTTATTATTTCTTTTTTTTCATCTTATTCAATATTATTCTTTAGTTTATTATTAAGTAAATTTTCATAATATCAACAATAATAATAAATGTTAATATAATAAATAGATCTTTATTATCTCATATATTAATATATTAACATAACAAAAGATCTGTTAATACTGATATTATTATATTTTATATATTAATAATAAAATGATTTATGTTTAAATATAATTTTTAGAAATAAAAAATTATAACCTAATAAATATATTCATTGCCTATATCAAAAGTTAATTACATTTCAAATATTAGTACTACATATTAATAATTAATGATTTTAAATACAATTGTCTCACTTATGAAAATATAATTCTTTATAGATCACGTAATATTACATAAATATCTGAAAAAAGATACTTGTATAACTGATTTTGAGATTTAAACTCGAAATTCACTGAGAGACAAAATTGCCCTTTTGGATTTGTATAATATTTTACAACTCTATGATTAATTTATGTAG